TCCACGTTGATAGAGCAGCGTAAACACACAAATTAGCATAACAAAGGATGACCTTTCTGACCTTTTACTGACGCACAACGCGATTTGAAATACAGGGTCGTGTACAGTTTGGATCATTTAAACAACGGATTTTCCACGTTTTCATTCCGGTTTTTGTACAATTTGGACTGTAATTTGCCCATTGAAAGTACAGTTGTGAAATAAACCGGTTTTATGACTCATCATATTACTTGTAACTGTGGATATTTGATGTTCAGCGGTACTTGGTTCGACCGAAATTTGAGACGCGGCGGGACGCGGTGTATCATGTGCGGCGACAGGCACAGTGACCTCAGTTCCAACATCTGATCTGGATACCTTTGGTATAACCAAAGTTTTGTGACAGTATGACTGACAAGTTTTGTCGTTGTTCTGGGATTTTCGCATCGTTTTTGTGACACATACATGATATGCCTTATCTCAACTCCGGCCGAAAGACTTTGCATGCACAAATCTGTAGCTTTCGAAATTACCTTCATCATCTCCTGTAATTTATTTACCCATAGTGGAGAATTACAATACCATATATCATCGTCGAATCCGGCGCTGTCCCGTGTTCTTTGAAACAGATGGCAATTACCGGGTGCACTGCAATTTTGTCAGCTGCCGCTACCGGACACCGGTTGTTATTGGTGGCATACATTTTTGCCTGTGACTCATAGTTTTTTGCATTTTTATGTCATTAAATCCCTCAATTATATCTTGTACTTAAAGATCATGTTTTCTTTGTTGGAAGTTTGCAATCCATCTCAAAGTAACAATACTGAGAATATAGCGTTCTGGCGTTCGTGTAGGCACCTCACGGTGTTGAGGGACGGTGGTTTAGGTTTGTGTGGCGAACGACAATCACCCAACGACCGACGCTCACAACTTGGATCCCACCATTAACAAAAAGCAATATTATAGTTTTCAGATGTTTTTAATTCAGTATTTTTTTCATTATTCTTCCCAAATTCAACCACTATATTTCCCTAAAAATCAAATATGTATTTCCGTATTAAACCTGTAGTCAATTCATGTTCCAGGGCCATTTGGTTTAGCCGTGCATTATCAGCCAATATACCATGGATTGCATATGCAAATTTTGTGTTTGGACCAATCAAATCAATGGATTAACACCATCAATATACTGGTATAATATAATATAAAATAACCACTCACTTGATTGTCCTGAGTTGTAACTGCATGGGTGTTAAATCTAGTCTTGCCTTTTCTATTATGGACCTAGCACTATGTACACTCTCTAGTGTTCTATGCGATGGAAGCCATGCACTCCTCTCTGACATTGCAGAGTCAGTCCTCTGTGATGGTGGACGAGATGGAAAGTGGAATGGTTCTGAAAGCAAGAACAAAGGTCATTACAAATTATAGAGTTACAAGCACTATTGATTAATGAGAATGTCTGATAAAGAACACTGATAAAAATAAGCCATGCATGGCACAGTCCTTGTTAGTTATCAAATTTAAGATATATAGTTTTGTTTATAGAAATATAGTTATAATATATATCCAGAAGCTGAAGATGATTTTTTTAACATTCAAAATGACTGACATTCAATCTTGTTTCTGATTGTCAAACTACAGTCGGTCATTTTGTATCCAATCTGAAAACAAAATTAGGCAGAGGGTTCTCCGAACCCGCCTATTCACATATTTAATACTCACCATAGACTCTGGTCAGTCAAAATGACTATTTTGAACTGTAGGCATTAATCAGCGATTCTGTCGGTGACGGAGAGATAGAATCTAGGTCAGGGGAAGCCCAATGACCCCAAAATTCTCTTCCCTTACGTCACGAACCACATGACCGAGGCCATATGGCAGCGCCATTAACGGCTATACAATCACTCTGGTTCCTTTCTCTCAGCCTCGAGGACTTAGACCAACGCTACGGAAAGAGTGGGGTGGTTGGGGGACCCGGAGTCTATGGTGGGTATGAACAATGTGAATAGCCCGCCTATTCACATTGTTCATACTGGAGAACCGTCTGCCTAAATTCACTATGTTCAATTACCCACCATAGACTCCGGTCAGTCAAAGTGACTATTTTGGACTGTAGGCAGAGTCAGATGTCGATAGGTGGCGGGTTTTCCGAACAAACAGAAAATGATGAAAGTCTTTTCCCAGTACAGGATGAAACAAACTCCAATAAGCTCAACACCTTAGTTAAGACCCAAAAAGGGTGGTGTCTTACCTTGCCTGTGCTGTCCCTGGAGCATGAAGCCAAAATGCTGCTACGGTGACAGGGTTTGGTGTGCCCGAGAAAGCTAGACCCCAAGACAATTCTGGGGATAGTAAGCTTTCGAAGTAAACACCGAAACAGTTCTGCATGAGGGCATAGGCCGCAAAGCGGGCCCTGGGAGCTTCCAGGGAGTGCTGATGGTAGAGAAATCTGTCCGCCAAAAATGCCAAGACTGACTTATTGCCTATGCGCAGGGACCCTTGTGGTCGTTCGGGCTGGGTCAGCAAACCAAGACTGACCCGCTACGACGGGACCCAACCTAAAGAGACCTTCCTCAATGGATTCAGTGTCTGTTAGGTGGTAGTTGATAAAGACGTTCTGCCTGTCCTCCATGTATGCTTGAGGGGGGGGGGGGCACCTGACGCTAGCACTAGTGAGTTGGCAATCGCACAGACCTCATGCGCTCGTACTTGGTGTCTCTGCAAGCTCTGTGTCGAGGAAGTTAAAGTATTATAGACCTCTAATACAGTCGCAGTAAACCACTTGGCTATGGAAGTTGGAGAGGCCGGCTTATCCTGCCTGTCTGGGCCGTAACACAAAGACATGTGCCTGGCACCCCGTCCTGAATCCTTCGTACAGTTTGGTGGCAACTCCGTGCTAGAACTGGGCAGAGAAGCAATTCCTCCTGACCATCCGGGCAGACAAAATTTGACAGCCGGAGGATGACGATCGGGTGAGGAACATGTCCTGAAATTTAGTTCTAGGCGAGAAACCAGATTTGTGTCTTTAGCACAACTTGATTGTCCATAACGGCTGTACATCATCAGAGAAGGATGCCCCCAGCTCTGGCCGACACCTACCTACACTTGTAAGGCTAAGCAACACGCTTTAAATAGCAATACCAAGCTTACCTCTGTGTCAAAACTCCATGCCCAGGGACACCAACTGCCCGGTCGAGATGGGACTTGTCGATTTACTAACAAGCCCAACTGGTGAAGTAAATCCAGTGTTTGGCTATTAACCTCCTTGTCTGGGTTGTGTAGTAACCAGTCGTCTAGGTACGGATTGAGGTGTACCGACATTTGGTGAAGCAGCAGCACTACCTGTTTCATCACTCTGGTGAACACGTAGGGCGGTGTGCATAACCTGAATGGGGGGGGGGGCATCCGAAATTCAAATACTTAGCCGAGCTGGACGATTCGAAGGAGATGGCAACTCACTAGGTGCATCGGTATGTGCAAGTAGGCCCGCTTAAGTCTAGTGGGGCTAGCCAGTTGAAACGGTGGATGGAGAGAAGAACCCTGAATGGCATCTCCAGGTGGAACCGATCGAGGAGCACATACTGATTCAGTCTGCCTAGGTCCAGAACTGGACGCCTGCCACTTGTAGATTTGGTACTATGAACACATTTGGGTAGAAGCCTGGACTTAGTTCTGGCTGATCTACCCTGTGTATGGTGCCTTTTCCCAGCAAACTCCTACTTTCTGCCTGATTGCTTCCGTCTTGCGGGAGTCCCCTGGCAGTGCCCAATAGGGGAGACAGTGACGGGGAGATGGAGATTTCAGCACTATCCTGTAACAGGATATCACCACCTGGAAAGGTTCAATGATTGGTCACGCGCTGTCTCCAAACCGGACTACACCAGCGCAATCTGTGTACGACAGGGATATGTGGCCATGGGTTTGGCAGTTGCGAGGAGGGGTGCTCTCTTCTCCCATGAGGTGAGGTCCCCAAGGCCTGAAGTAGTCACTAAGTTGTGACCTGGCCACTCACCGAACACATGCCTGTCCCCCCTGTCAAACACTCTTTCCCCGTTGCCAGGGTGGATGTCCGCCCAAGGAGGGTGAGGAGCCACAACCTGGCTCTTTCCTCCCTGGGGGCACGCCACTACTCTTCCCTCCCATGGAAGGGTATGAGCGCTTGCCTCCTGGCTGACTCTGGCTAGCTGACGACGCCCTAGGGCATTGTGTTTTCTGTACTTGGGGTGCTCTCCGCTTGCCCTGGGCAGGGCCAACTGGCTAGCGAATCGATCTGAACCCTCTGGTTCATTGCACTCCGAAGCTCCGAAACTGTACCCACCATTCCCTGTACAAAGAGGGTGGAAGATGTCCAGTCTGCATCACTGAGGTGGAGAGGTACCCCCTGACTCAGCTTGTCGGCGTCTAAGGCCGCGTCTTGTTGCGCAGTAGTGGCCCCGGCCTAGAGAGCCAGGTGACACCAGGGGATGTCGCACGTAGATGTGCGGTGGCCCACCAATAAATGTGTCGCCTGGTCTAGAAGGCTGGTGCGTTCTGCCTCCAAGGTCTCAGAGTCCTGGGCGTGCACAATAATGCGCTCAAGCAACTCTGCCCTCAGGGCGTGATGGAACGTCTCAGATTGAGCTGGCAAGAACGCCCATGGAACACGGCTGTCCCCCTTTACCCAGTCTGCCCAATGGAAAATTCCTGGTACCGGGGTCTGGGGAAGGAGCCTTGAGATCCGGTTGGGGGTATTTTGGTCTCATCCCACACTTTGGGGACTGACCAGCGTCCGCCCATCAACACCACTTGCACGCACTGTGTCCCACTCCGCACTTGGACGGACAGGGAGAGACGTGCCGAAGGAGTTTCTTTGAATCCAGATGCCCGTGATCCCACAAGCGTTGAAGCAACTGAAAGTGGTCGCCTTAGGATCAGGGGTGGGGGTATTTACATTGTATCACTAAGATCGATGGAACTCTGTATCACCCCAAAAGCGTGGCCCACCGAGTCGTTACGGATGGAAGACTCTGACGGACCGCCCATGGTACCGACTGTATCTGTGTCGCATACGACTTATTTACCACTTCCGTGTCACTGAGAATGTTCTAGAACCGTACTGTGTCTGGGTGGAATATTCTAGATTTTTTTTAGAAACTGGTTGAATAGGTAATAGAACACTGTAGGAGGCAATAGAAGGTAATGGAACACTCTAGAAATTTGTAGTAAGTTCCAGCTGATGTAATGGTCTATTTATAGACAGTGGGGGTGTATATAGGGGAGTTGTTCAGCACTGAGTTCAGATGGGAGATCTCGTTGAATGTATTGTATTGGAGTTTAATTATCTAGTCATTGGAGTAGTGGAGTTTTACCGCGTTATTGTACTTGATGTTTTCAGAGTATAATAATACCAGTACCAGTTGAAACATCATCTGTTGGCTCCGTGTTCGTATTTTATCATCGCCGCCGGGGAAGTCTTTCTGTTACTGTTGCCTTTTTGGTATTTGAACCATCACACTATACCAATTACGGTAATATTACGTTGCGTGTGACAATCCGACGTGAGCGAACTGTGTCTCCTTTTCACTTTAAATACGTGAGAGAGAGCGTGTTTGACTGTGCGTCTCATAACAGGGTCGGTTCCCTCTGGGGACGCCCGTGGGTCGGTAAGAAGGGAGTCAAAACCCACAGCGGAGACCGGACACAAGGGTGAATTTGTTACAGTTGTACCATTACCGTGCAACGAACCCTGGCTGGCTGAAAGTAGGGGGGGTCAACGAGTGCCCTGCCCTGAAAGCCCTGCCCCAAGATCGGAGGCTTGGCTGCCAGCACCCCGTTGGCATTCAGTGCCCGAGGCTCCAGAGGTGGCCCAGTGCAATTAGCCTGAGCCTCTGCCTGACCCAAATTATTGGGAGAGCCGCGGCTGGGAATGGGGGTTCCCCGGAAGAGACGTGTTTGAATGCAAACATGCTTTTGTGTTTCTTCTGTTTGCCCACTAGGGGCCGCAATTTTCCCCGACAGTCCTTCGACCAAAGCCCTCAACTCAGAGGCAAACCCGGCGCCGTGTGAGGAAGAATCCACAAAGGGACCCGCGATGGGCCCCATAGGAGGAAAAAACCTCCAGGGGAACAGCCTCGTTGTAGCTGGTAAAATCGGGTAAACCACTGCCTGTAAACACAGACTGTGAGCATGCCCTCCGATCAGCGGGGGAGACCGAAAAAAGTATTGGTACCTCCACTGTCGGGCCTCCTACTCGACATCCCGGTACGCGAAGCACCAGTAGCCGAGTGTGAGGACTTTTCACTCATGCCAAACACACAACTCACTTTAACCGATTTTTACTGGACATGCGACCTTGCTGTGAAAAAACGAGCGACACGGTCAGTCTCGGCGATTTTGATGGCTCTGAAAAAAAATCCTCAGGCCTCAGAACTCAAGGCAAAGACCACGAAACTGGCACACAGTCACGGCGAAAAGCATATCGGATGCAGGTTCTATGCTGGTAAATTCTGAATATAACCACTGCACAGTCGACTCGAAAACGAGTAGACCAAAAAACAGCAGCGAGTCATGGAGCTGTCATTACATCTATTCATTTCTAAATACGTAGATCAAGCAAAAATGAAGACAACATGCATGAGGGAAGCGAATTACAGTAGTAAAAGGTGCCGCCACGAAACCAACGAGTGGTTACATAGTGGTGCCAGGTTTTAATTTCTTTGTTGTGAAAAAATATTACACACAAATGAGAAAACGACGCGAGGATAAAGAAGACAAGGAAAACTTATCCTACCAGTTGCCGAACGAATGACGAATGCCGCCCAGCGGCAACAACCCAAGCTAGAAACCCTGACAGGAAAAAAGCAAGCGGCCCGGGCAGAGCTCGCTAGATTTCATCTCCATTCGAGGCGAGGAAAAATCAGAGTGATTGTCCAGCTGTTAGTGGCGCTGCCATATGGCCTCGGTCATGTGATTCGTGACGTAAGGGAAGAGAATCTTGGGGTTATGGGGCTTTCCCTGACCTAGATTCTATCTCTCTGTCACCGGCAGAATCGCTGATTAATGCCTACAGTTCAAAATAGTCATTTTGACTGACCGGAGTCTATGGTGGGTAATTGAACGTAGTGAATTGACATGCATCAAGGTCCCATAATGTCTAAAGTATGTACCAAGTTCCATCAGCAAACAGCCAAGATCTTGTTCCTGAATGCGAGAAATGCTTGATTTTGATCATTTTTCAGCACAAAAATGGCTGCCATTTGGCCATCTTGAATCAGATTGTGAAACAAATTGATGTGCATATGTATAATCTTATGTATGTATGATGTATGTGTGAAGTTTGAATGTAAACAGCCCAAGCATGTGTAAGATATAAATCTGGACGTACACACACAGACACACAGAGGTCAATCCATAAGTCCCCGTTTTCAGACTGTGTTCAAATGGGAACAAATAACCACAAAATACAGAAAAATAAAATATTGAAAAAACAGTTATGTTTGAGCATTTAAAATAGAAATAAAGATAGTGTTCATCAGTGAGTATTATTCACTTGTACAATTATATCATCATGTGAAATTGTTTATAAAAATGATAATAAGCATGACATGTACACAAGTCATGAAAGATTAATTGTAAAAAATCATAATTTATGTACTTTGTTATGTATATTATGGTTAAATCAGATAAAATTTAGATATAAATTAAAGCACAAACAGTTCTTCACCATAAGACTACCTTACATACACTTGCTAAGGGTGTAACAATGTAATATTAGTTCTTACCTAATACAGAATACGGTGATGGATTCCTTAATTCTCTTCTTTTATCTTGAAGTCTTTCTTTCTCTCTCAATATCCTAACTTTTTCAGCATTGAGTGATTTTATATTATCATGAATGTCAGCTTGTTTTCTTTCATGTTCCTGTACGTGACATGAAACAGTGGCACTGCTATCATGCATTATAAGATTTTATTCTCACCAAAATATTTAATTTTTCAGCTAAATAAAGGTCACTAATCGATTGTGAACTGTTGGTGTTGAGAGAAGGTTGAAATAAACTCACATCAATGTCTACAAGTCAAGGTCACAGTATCGCATCACATACATGTACCTTTGTCAAGGTATCACATCATAACACATTGCATTGTCCCCATCCAGTTTTTAGTGACTGTGTTAATTATCAACAATTGAAGATGTAGATATAATACAAGGTATGCCCCAGGAAGGATTGATGACATGTTGGTAGTGTTTTTTAAGACAAAAATGGACACCAGTCAGAAATGGTACATGAAAATAACACCATCATGGCCACCAGTTGGCCATTTTGAATCAAATTACAAAAGAAAGAGACATGCATCAGTTATCTATTATGTGTGATTTTCATACCAGGTATGAATGACAACGCACACCACGGACACTGAGAGATTGTGACACCAGTGACAACACACACCAAGGACACTGAGAGATAGTGACACCAGCGACAACACACACCAAGGACACTGAGAGATAGTGACACCAGTGACAACGCACACCATGGACACTAAGAGATAGTGACACTAGTGACAATGCACACTAAGGACACTAAGAGATAATGACACCAGTGACAACGTACACCATGGTCACTGAGAGATAGTGACACCGCACACCATGGACGCTGAGAGATAGTGACACTAGTGACAACACACACCAACGCACACCATGGACACTGAGAGATAGTGACACCAGTGACAACGCACACCATGGTCACTGAGAGATAGTGACAACGCACACCATGGACACTGAGAGATAGTGACACTAGTGACAACGCACACCATGGACACTGAGAGATAGTGACACCAGTGACAAGGCACATCAAGGACACTGAGAGATAGTGACACCGCACACCATGGACACTGAGAGATAGTGACACCGCACACCATGGATACTGAAAGATAGTGACACTAGTGACAACACACACCAAGGACACTGAGAGATAGTGACACTAGTGACAACACACACCATTGATACTGAGAGATAGTGACACTAGTGACAACACACACCAAGGACACTGAGAGATAGTGACACTAGTGACAACACACACCAAGGACACTGAGAGATAGTGACACTAGTGACAACACACTCCAAGAACACTGAGAGATAGTGACACCAGTGACAATGCACACCATGGACACTGAGAGATAGTGACACTAGTGACAACACACACCAAGGACACAGAGATAGTGACACCAGTGACAATGTACACCATGGATACTGAGAGATAGTGACACTAGTGACAACGCACACCATGGACACTGAGAGATAGTGACACTAGTGACAACGCACACCATGGTCACTGAGAGATAGTGACACCAGTGACACCGCACACCATGGATACTGAGAGATAGTGACACTAGTGACAACGTACACCATGGATACTGAGAGATAGTGACACTAGTGACAATGCACACCATAGACACTGAGAGATAGTGACACGAGTAACAACGCACACCATGGACACTAAGAGATAGTGACATTAGTGACAATGCACACTAAGGACACTAAGAGATAGTGACAACGTACACCAAGGACACTGAGAGATAGTGACACTAGTGACAATGCACACCAAGGACACTAAGAGATAGTGACACCAGTGACAACACACACCAAGGACACTGAGAGATAGTGATACCAGTGACAACGCACACCATGGACACTAAGAGATAGTGACACTAGTGACAATGCACACAAAAGGACACCAAGAGATAGTGACACCAGTGACAACGTACACCAAGGACACTGAGAGATAGTGACACTAGTGACAATGCACACCAAGGACACTAAGAGATAAGACACCAGTGACAAGGTACACCATGGTCACTGAGAGATAGTGACACCGCACACAATGGACACTGAGAGATAGTGACACTAGTGACAACGCACACCATGGACACTGAGAGATAGTGACACTAGTGACAATGCACACCATGGATACTGAGAGATAGTGACACTAGTGACAACACACTTCATGGACACAGAGATAGTGACACTAGTGACAACACACACCATGGACACTGAGAGATAGTGACACTAGTGACAACGCACACCATGGATACTTAGAGATAGTGACACTAGTGACAACACACACCATGGATACTTAGAAATAGTGACACTAGTGACAACATACACCATGGACACTAAGAGATAGTGACACTAGTGACAACGCACACCATGGACACTGAGAGATACTGACACGAGTGACAACGAACACCAAGGACACTGAGAGATAGTGACACTAGTGACAATGCACACCAAGGACACTAAGAGATAAGACACCAGTGACAATGTACACCATGGTCACTGAGAGATAGTGACACCGCACAGCATGGACACTGAGAGATAGTGACACTAGTGACAACGCACAGCATGGACACTGGGAGATAGTGACAATAGTGACAACGCACACCATGGACACTGAGAGATAGTGACAACACACACCATGGACATTGAGAGATAGTGACACTAGTGACAACACACACAATGGACACTGAGAGATAGTGACAACACACACCATGGACACTGAGAGATATCAGAACATCATTGTACAAGAATCAGTAAAGTTTAGCATACCTGCCTTCTCCTCGCTAACACATCATCCAATAGTCTTGGTTTAACAGCTGGTCTATGATAAGTAGCTGGTGGTGGCAATGTCTTTGGTAAACTATAGTTAATGACTGTGTTAGTCTTTGCTTCTGGCCCATACCAATCTTTTATTTCTCTTTTTAATAATGAACCATTGAGTCTCCCCTGATGATTAATAATTACCAACTTTCTATATTTTTGTTTGTTACAAAGTATTGTTCAATGACTATCAAGACAAAATTAAACATCTAGTTTAAGATATCTCATACAGTAGGTGATTTTTCGCTCACTGCAAGTCTGCTGCATAAATAATTGATTTGATTCTGAACATGAATTTGTTTTTTATAGTTCAATGTTGGAATGCCAAGCTTGCAGACAGGAATATGGTGTTGAGATACACTTACTTCAGCAAACACAAAGTTTTGACGTCACTACAACGCTATGACCTTTGATTGCCCTGTTTTTAGAATCAGTTTTACACATAACATTGAATCACAAAGTGAATAGAAAATGGTCTATTTTATTGTTGAAATTAACACACATATTTTTCATACAGGTATATACATTGTAGCAATGATCACATATATATGATCAATATATTTGAAAAAAAAACACGAAAACTGATGAATTGATGGATGATAAGAGACAAGATTGAATCTCACCAAAATTTCTTCTTCTTTTTTCTTTCTTTCATCTTCGACTTCTTGTGTTCTATCCCGGAGTGCCTTCAATGTCTGTGCTTGTCTTTGCAGTGAGTCAAGTTTCTTCTTCTCCAACTCCAGGAGAGTTTTGTCCCGTGAATCACTTGACAGAAACATTCTCATTGGCTGGATATCTTAACACATTGAGTTATTATTAGTAGTCTTACAAAGGATGCAGTATGGTTAAACAAAAGTTTAGAAACAACTCATGTGTACTGAGGAAGTTGTAGGAATGAAATAAATATGGGAAAATAATTGTATTTAAAAATTCAAGACTAGCATATTATCTCTTTGAATCAATATTTTTTTTGCATTTTTCCATAATTAATCTGTTAATTTGAGACTAAACAGATAGCGGCTCATTAATTATGGTCTAGATCAAATTATATGGAAAAAAAGAAATAATAGTGCTGGCATATTTTCTGATAGGTGACTTATTTAGCATTGAAAGCCTGTCAGCTGCTTATAGCTCTGCTCTGCTTAACTTAATCTGTAGTAGACAATGCCATGTTTGACAAACAAAACTACAACAGTGAGCATGCAGTCATTATGATGTTCTATATTTTAAAATGATCGACAATAATCAGTTTAAAGCTTTTTAAAAGAAATTTCTGGAACATATATCCAATGTAATAATATTATTTATGAATAAAAATAATATCACTGTGTATATTAATTTGTACTTTCTAAAGTTTAAAAAGCACTCCAGCATTGTATAAACATATTATTTTTTTTTTTTTTGTAATAAAAAAATCAATTGCCTTCTTTCAGAGTACCATTCACATAATAGTTTGTACCTGCAAAAATATTTGAATGAAGAGTAAAATTAATTTTCGGGTGAGAGAGCAAAAGAAACTCTTGTGGGCGACAAATGTAAACAGATTGATATCCTCAACAATTGTTATTTGTACACTTCCAAAACGTCAAAAAAAGTATTCGTACAGTGAAAAGTAAATATCGATCATCATTGTCTACGCCAATAATACAATAACTGAAGACCATGAACCACTATCCATGAAAGCCATATGACTTGTTAATGCTACATTAAAATTACGGTAGAAATCTTATCGATTGGTGAAAATTCCATTAGCAAATCGTGATTGTCAAATTTCAATGTCACTGCCAATCACTGCGGTCAACAAAGTTAATCACGATGGTCAATAAAATAAGTGTGAATTGGGAACAAACAGGTGAAAATAAATAGAAAACAGATCTCACCTACTAGGTAAGCTACGTATACTAAAAAAGTATAATAGCAAGATTACCTCCAAAAGGACCACAGTCCTCGTGCATGGATACGAGTGTAAACAACCTCGGGGTAAAATCCCACTCGATCGTCTACTTACCTGGTTGTACGAGCCTGTGTTCTACATTTTCGCAAAATATCTTATGAACAATAAGATATCTGTCCGCTATCTTCAGATTCCGACTGATGATCAGCGAGATTATCAAAACATCACTGATCGTATATAAGTTTGTTAACGTTTTTCTTCGAAGCTAAATATAAGTGGTCGTGGCCATTTTTAGCAGTGTGAAGTTAGCATCGGAATCAAATTGGCATCGTATTCAAAATATATCACATATACATTTTCATATTTTTTCGCATAATCAGAGAGGTAAAGAAGAATTGATCACATTTTTAATTATTGCTAATAAAATATATATATTTGTCATATAAATCATGAAATAATCCTGAAAACTACCATAGCATGCCATCGGATTCACCCGTAGGTTTGTTGTTTCATTTCTCCACGGCATTGGATTCACCAGAACAAACAACTCTCTTACTATTTTAAAGTGTGCATAGTCAAGAACACATTTGTTAATGTAACATATACACATAAGTTTATATGTTTACAGTGGACACCGAAATAAACTGATCGCAAAAACGTTATTTCTCTATCACTTTCCTTTGAAACATCACAATATCCCTGGCAACGTTCTTAACGATGTTTGTTTTCATTTTGGCTTTTTCATGTATGCTTGTATGTCTTATTTCCATTCCACTATGCAGTATACTAGTATCCTTTGTTTTTCAATTGTTCCTAGTTAACATGATTCCGGTGCCAACTTTACGCTGCTGCCATTTTAGCTAGTACGAGTAGACTGACTACTGCCGTTGGTGGCGTAGTTGACGATCAATGATTCTCCATCTCATGATTATTTCAGTCGATGGTTGCAGAACGATGCTTGTTTTATGCATCCTAAATTTATTTATTAATATCCAAACACTATTTTCTTTGTTTCTGCCCAGATACTGTAAAAATGAAATAGCAAACTAAAAAAAGAAAATTAAAAAAAATTACTTTGAAAAGCTTGTTCCTGTCATCGTCGTATAGTCTCTGACAAGCAGAATTTAGTTTAGAAAATGTTTGAAGCAGCGATGATGAAGTTAGTCAATGCATTTGTGACATCAAGAATGGTCTATTGCAACATTATACTCCATGGATATCCCCAGTTTCAGCTATAAACATTAATTTGTAAAAAAAAAAAAATTACATCTATACTATACTATATGATTTGCATTGCCTATTCGTGAAATAAATGATTTTAAGGTAGAGATGCAGTTTACCTGACAGGTATTTTAATTAGTTAATTACCAAGATGACCTCCCTTGTTCACAAAACTATAGTATATATTTTCGGAAAGCTTATTGTATGAATTTTAAAATTTTGTTAGTATTTTTTTATGTACACTGTAGTTTGAAATATGCACAAAAATGTGCTTTTTTGGTCAAAAGTGATTTAAAAAAAATTTGCTCCTAAACCATGCTTCTGTTTCCTGTCAAAATTGGTTTATGGGTTCATCTGTTTACTATGAAGAAAGTGCTGTCTTGAAAACTGTCTACCAGTTGTCAATTTTGCAGGGCAGCAGCCCAAATTTCACTCCTTCAAGTTTATGCATAAATTAACACCCAGGTTAGTTGTCTGTACGATTGTTGTAACACTGTTCAACCAAAAACAATGCCCTGATGGCATTTGGAAGACATTGTCAATCATTTGTGAAAATTTCAAAACAAAAGGTCAAAGCGTCTAGGAGATAGTTCTGGGATATGCACTAAAAAGAGGCTGAGATAATTGCTAATTTGCATAACTCAGTAAGAAGTTTGCTAATGCTCATAATTAAAATGGCTGTAACAGTTTAATTTAAATGTATTATCGTTTTGTTAAAAGTTAAATATAGTGCATAATATGGAGATCCCGTCATTTTTTTACACCATGCCTTGCTAAATCTTGCTAAGCATTCAAAAGTGAGAATGTTTGCACCTGTTATCTGTATTTTAAACTCTAATTTTGAGTGTGTTCCACTATTCACAATTCTACAAAATTTTTACAGTCTATAGCCAAGACTGTTTGGATAATAAAAAGCAAAAAAAATAAAAAATTCACTCTCAAGTGCCCACGAACCTGCATCTCTACCTTAAAGGACTGTTAACTGTGTATACAATTCTAAATAATTCTTCTCCAGTGTATTTATGTGACTTGATTGACTGACTGACCTTTTTCTACTGATAGAACAAGATTCAAAATGTACTGCCAGGATTTTTTTCAGCAACATTCCTTTTGTGGAATGAAATTCCACACTATACACTTCATTCCTCTATGTCTAACAATATCGGTATATATGTTGAGGGAAGTTTTAAAAACTCATTTAAATATGTATTGTACAGTGCTGTGTACAGGAAACTTCGCTATATACATTTTTTATCATTATTATAATTGTTAAATAACATAAATATAGAATGTTGGTGATGGAATTGTCAAAAAGCCTAGCTCAGGTGAGCTCAGGCAGATAAAAAGTTGTTGTCATGGTCATAATAAAATTATGAAGTCTCAATGCATTAATCACAGACTTTTTTATTAGTTATTTCATTACATGAAGTGTAAAAAAACAATTTGTCAAAATTATTTTTGTTTCTTTGTTCTGTGCTTTGGATGACTAGATTTCAATGCCATCCATGACTGGTATAATAAAGCTGCTGGAAATACAACCCATAATCCATTGAAAAATATTAAGTAGCACCATAAGTACAGAGGGTTAGTAGTATCTAGATTAGGACTACCAATTAACCAATCAGGACTGAACGTCATGAAACCTACAGGAACAGGAAAACATTACATTATAATATACTGTGCTTTTTCTTATACTGTGATTTCTTGAAACAAAAGAAAGAAGCAAAAATTAACTTACAGTAATTTTACAGAAATTCAGAAAAGTCATTATACATGTATGTTTGCAAGTAAACAAATTCTACAGCACACTGCAAAACATTTTGCCAAATTTATTGCAGAAATAAATTACTTTTTCAAATTATTACTACCATGTTTTCACTCTTTACTGATATATCCATTCAATCAAAAACAAATTTGAAATCACTTTACAGGTTTAAATCAGATTGGTTGTGTACTCGGCTCAATTGCTGGTTAAAGTGTTTTCCATTGCCAGTTTAGATAACACAAAGCACATTCTGGGCAATAGAGACAGACTCTAGATTACAATAGTCTTTCAAAAGAATGAACAACATATTTAGTTGACATACTGGTACATTTTCTTTGAGATTTGCATCCAATATGAACTAGTAATAATAATAATTTGAGTACATACCTCCATAGAGTTCACACACACATATAGTGATCTGTATAAAATGCCTATAGTAAGTACGTTTAACAATGGCATAGACACATAACAATGCTAACGGTCCAGTTATACCAACTGTTAATAATTCTAAGGAGACAATAGTTGGATCAGAATAGAGCCAACGCTTATCCGCTTTACCATATTCTTTCCCTGTAGTAAAGAATAATTGAATTGAATACAACACCCTAGCAGTGCAGTATATGAAAATACTGTATAAAACAAGGAAATCAGGATTTCAATTGTAAGCAAGATAAATTGACTACAGACATATGCAACAAACCATGGGCTAGAAATAATGCTTGTTTAATAATTTTGTTTTCCATAGACATGAATGATTTGCTCTACAAGTTAAACTAGGAGGCAAAATAACCCAACTAGTAACCCACAGTTCTTCTAGTAACCATGATTATACCCTACAAGATGACGCAACTAAATAGTAACTTAAACCCTACAATATAATGACTCCACTAAATAGCAACTTACACCCCTGCAATATGACCTCATTAAATAGTAACTTAAACAATACAATATAATGACCCCACTAAATAGTAACTCACACCCTACAATTTAATGACCCCACTAAATAGTAACTTACACCCTACAATATAATGACCCCACTAAATAGTAACTTACACCCTACAATATAATGACCCCACTAAATAGTAACTTACACCCTACAGTATAATGACTCGACTAAATAATAACTTACACCCTTACAATATAATGACTACACTGAACAGTAACCCAAACCTCTACAATATGACCTCATTAAATAGTAACTTACATAACATTGCAATGTAACTGTCAGAAGTGTCCACAGAGCCTACAAGCGATAAATACACAAATGGTGCCTCCTGGAAATATAATCATGCAGTGAGAAATTAACATGCAACCAAAACACCATATTAGATTTATTTTAATGCACGTTTCTATGGGCAATTCTTATTTAATAATTTAGTACAACACATGTAATTTTTGGTTTATATGGTATTTAATGAATATGTGCTTTTAATAGAGCAAATACATACTGTAAAACACCTTCTCCATGCCCTTAACTGCCACCTAAATGACCTCTGAACTCATACAAATTACAGTTCATGATTTAACCAGACAATCACCCACAATTTTGACCCCTAAATGACCTCCAAACTTACCAATGTAAAATGCACTATTGCATCATAAATAAACCAGACTATCACCCATTTCTCAACTGTCAGTAGTTTCTTGCCAACAACTTGAGCTACAATATATGCTACAAACATCTGCAGAAATGCAGCAATCAAGCTAACAATACCCACGGTATCCAGAATAGGTTTGTCCGACATTGTGAAAGACAGTACAAACGGGCCCCCCAAGTTACTGTATATTCTCAATACAAAATAATCGTTCATTCATAGTGATTCCAATGTGGCATTCTAATTTTATTTGAAGAAAACAAATACAATGTATTTCAAATCACCACATTGTTGGACTGGAAATAGACATACAAATAAGTTAAGTTGTGACATTGTCATTCACTTCTAGTACTCAAGATAAAATTTGTAAATTTATGCATGATGCTCGCCTTTGATTGACAATGTATTTTGAAATTTACATCAATTCTGATTAAACATTATCAAAATTCCATCAAATTAATTTTCAAACCAGTTTTTTATTTACAGCATGTTAAATTTGCAACACAATTGAGCTGTTTAAAATATTCCAATGAAAAAAGTACCAGTGTTGAGGCAGCTTCATTTTATAAAAAAATACTAAAAAGACAATACTAGAAATAGTAAGAAAACAAAGAACAGTGTACTGCTGGGTGAAGTACACTACTATATATGTATATTAATTCACAGACAATAACACTAAATATCACAGTTGTCGCATAACAATTTAAAATACTAATCAAGTATTTTTGATACTGGAATACATACTATCAGTATATTACTCTATTTTTTTCTTATGAATGAAGAAAAGTATTAGGGAACAATATAAATATCACATGCACAAGCAAGTTTTTGGTTTCTTCAATAAATTTTGATTCAATGAAAGTTGGTTTGAAGAAATTTATATGTATTCATACGCAGCTCTCTGCATTTAGGTGCTAAAAATTAGTATTAGATGTCTTTGTGTTATAATTTTATGCAAAAGGCAAAAAACCACTATTACCTATTTCAAAGACTTGACTTGAAAATAGTTCCGTCTTCACAGAACCAATGACATAAACACAAGATTATAGACCAGGTTATAAAAGCAATATTTTATGTTCAATAGAGAATAACTTGTGCATGTGATAGTATAATTCATGTCATTCCTGAAGACAAAATGTTATGCAAGTCACTGACATTACAAGTTGTATTACCCCCCAAAGAAATTTTCACTGGTACAAAATGTCATGATTTCCCTGACTTGCAAAATTCGCAAAGATTTGTTAAAGCAGTTAACAGTACAAGTTATAACAAAGCCTTGAAAACACTAATAACAAGCCATGCATGGCACAGTCCCCGTTAGTTATTAAATTTAAGATATAAAGTTTTGTTTATAGTAATAAAGCTGGAATAAAAACATGTCAGGAATATGATGATTGTTTAACATTTAAATGATTGACATTTGTATCTGATCGTCAAATGAGTATTGAGAGATATTGCTCTGGAACAGCATTAATTAAAACAAAATCAGCCATTATGAATATATGTATAATGAATATATGAAATTTGAACATATTCAGTCAAAGCATGTCAGAGATATGGCTCTAGAAGCCCATTCATTAAAACAAAATGGCCACTAGTCAGA